TTACTACTATGTATTTTATAAGGAACGGACTCAACCTTCAATGACTCAATAGTAAATTTCATGAAAAGATCCATTTCTTGTCGACGGAGCATACATTTCTTTCAACTATTTTTTTGCGGAAATCAACTTCTTATACATCATTGTTGGAATTTTCGTTTTATGAAATCGGTTAACGGCTTTCAAATTAGGCCTTTTTCTATTGATTTCAATCATGTAACAGCCGAGTCAATACAAAACTTGAAGTAGTTTAGTTTATTATTTCATTATTACGTCCTTGAACAATATAACATAGATATGTATCTTTATACAGGGTGTTAACAAATAAGTGTCACAACGGAAAACTGTAGATTCCTCATGATAATAGAAACATTTATTTCCTCTTCAAAATTCTTCTCCGGGCTTTCGTTTTCAAGATACAGGGCGTCAGGAAATCAAAAATGTTCAGATTAATTGAACACACTTTACAACACTTAATAAACTTAAAAAATCGAAAACCAGCATCGAGACCAGCATACTCAAGAACCTGAAATTTGATTCAACATATTATTAGACAGTTCTGAGGTATTTATTTCCAGTGGATTTTTAGACGATTTTTGGAGATACCATCAGGATTTTGTATGTTTTTATTCATAAAGATCCATTTTTCTCGGAAACTATTGACTTTAGAGCATTCAGACAAGAGGACGTTTTTTGTGTGAAAGATATTGGCGTTTCAGAATCTACTTCGGAAATTACAATTTCTCCAGTGGCATAAATGTTTGGGGGGTTAAACCCTCACGAGGCGTTGAATTCTCCTCCACAGACATGTCCACGGAAATTGATTAAGAGCCCTAAAAGTATTCATTATTGATGATGAAGTATGTACGAAGGCTCAACTCCGTAGCTCAGACGGTTCCTGAGATAGTAACAAAAAACAGATTTTTTTGTATTTTTTTGACGCACTCTATCTTGATAACGGAAGCCCGGAGAAAAATTTCGAAAAGGAAAAAAATGTTTCTTTTTTAATGAGCAATCTACAGTTTTCCGTTGTGACACTTATTTGTTAACACCCTGTATTTAATGGTGGCTGTTGGTTTGCCCTGGCATCATCATTATAAAGAATTACCATGTTCCGGTATTGATAAGATACAGTATGATTGGTAGCAGTGCCAGAACTTTTTATGTACTTATTCGTAGAAAGATAATAACTTTTTGGAAATAACGATACGGTTATCATTTTCCAAATATAATGATTTTTTATGGACCTTCAAAGATAATAAAAAATGCGAACTACAAAGTAGCCAAAATAATCGAAGTGGAATGAAATGTTAATAGTCAGGCAACATGGAAACACCTCGATCACGCTTTTATAGATAGTCAAACTAAAAAGAAGTAGAAATAGTTATTTATTATACAAGGGAAAAAAGTAGTAGATTTTCGCTCCAGGTTGTGTTGTATCCCGACGGGTAGCGGAGGGAGACAAAAAACCGTGAGAAAATCTAATATTTTTCCAGTGTATAATACACTATTTTTTTTCTGTGACAGAAGAAAGGACGAATCAATATTGGGAAGATATTACATTATTTTGAAATCTGAAAATTATGGACGTGAAATTTTAAGTTTTTAACAGTAGGGACACCTGCGTTGTAGGCATCTTTATCATTCTTTTGAAGTAATCAAATATCTGATGTCACTTCTGTCAGTCTAATTCTTTGATTTGATTTTAAGAACTTGCGAATTTAGTGGTTGTTTAGTAATATACGTAACCGCGAAGTCGAATGGAAGATAAAAGGACTTGTAGTTCTTTCTCGGAAACGGTATTATTGATTCATTTTTCGGAACTATAGCACAACAAAAGCCATCAACAGTGTATATATATATGTGATATATATCCGGGAAAAAAGTAATTTAAGAAAAGTGACATTTTATAACTTGCCAACAGAGATGAAATGCCAAACTTTTTTCCCGTCACAGAAAAAATTAAATAATAAAAGTGAGTTGGTAAATACACAACTTGAAAAATATTAGCACCTGTGTAATTGGTCTATTTTTTTCTATGTTGTGTATTTACCAACACACTCATTATTTTATATTCTACTTCTTTTAGTTTGGCTATCTATAAAAGCGTGTTTCATTAGTTTTTCGAACTACTATTTTTTAGTTCGGCTAACTTCAAAAGCGTGTTTTTTTGTATTTGTTATTTTGACGAGAGAATCATAATCTCTGACCCCGAAAACCCCCAGATACAAATTTTGAATGGAAGTGGATCATAAAATCAAAACTCGTCTGCCATATTGGATCCGCCATCTTGAATTTCCCGATGAATCATAATTACCGACCCCGAAAACCCCCAGATACCAATTTTTTAATAGAATCGGATCATAATTACAAAACTGACTGTTCCCTACATTGGATCCGTCAACTTTAATTTCCTAATTTTGACGAAAGAATCATAATCTCCGACACTAAAAACCCTCGGAAAACCCTCAGATACAAATTTTTCATCTCTTGGAGCGCACGAAAAAGAAACCCTATAATGTTCGAAGAACATCGTGTGTGCCTTGGGAAGATAGGAAGAGGAGGTAGGTATTGGATTTTCTTTCGAATAGAATCGGATCATAAGTACCAAACTCGTCCGCCATTATGATAGTTTACGCCTTAATGGTTGTAGTGATAATTCAATTCAAATTTAATTAAGTATATATGCGCCACTCTTAGTATTCTATGTATTTAAAAAATAACCGATGAAATAATCATTATGTTTCACCTCACTCAAATGTCTAATATTAAAGAAAATTAACAATGACATAACTATTTCATTCTAATAGCTTCATCATGCTACTAGCTTTCAATCAATAATTTTCGACAGAAATATGATTTTTTTTAGAAAATTATATTCTCCGCTTCAGATTTCTGTTCAATGCAAAGTTGATGTATCGTCTATTCAGGAGCGAAATTTATTAAATTGATTTTTTCAGTACTAAAATGGTGCCAAAGTCACCTGTCAAAATATCATCAAACTACTGCTTTTTTTATCTCTTGGACCGCACGAAAGGAAATTTCTCGTGTGTACCTTACTAATTACGTAAAGTTAAATATATTGCTCTAAAAAGAGGTTTGACGCAAGTACTAAGTTTGAGACAAATGGGCGAGATGTTTTGTCGCTATCAATAAAAAAAACCTTTTTTTTTTTTTCTTTTTTACTATTCTGCACTAGAGTTGCTTCAATTTTTTTTTTCGAAAACGAAACTAGATATGAAACTAAAAGTCGTACTGTTAGTAGCTTAGTCTGAAAAAATAAAAAATTAAAACAAGTGGCCTACCAAATCGGTTGAAGGATATTTATGATGTTTTTTGAATGGTTTATTTAAATAATTTGATTTAAATTGTCGCAACCCTGTCCTGCGGGAGATAAATAATTAATTTCATCTCAAACTATGCATATTTCAACATATTCCAACATCTCCAGTCCATGAATTGCCTGTACTTTTAACGCCTGTACGTGTTTTCCTTGTTCAAAATCTGTTTTGATAATGAAAATCCGTGGTAAAATTAAGAATAATAATAAATCGGTAGAAAATTTTTAAATCACGTATAAGGCTCGGTATACGGAAGTAGAAAAGAATTTCCTTAGGGCAGTAAAAAAAACGCTCAAATGTTGATTCACGACCTTACTTATTTCAAATGGTTTATGCATATGAATTCTACCACTCTCATATCATGGTGTTCCTCTATAATTATTGATTATTTCAACATAGTTTACATGCAATGTGAATGCTTCTGGATGATCTGTTCGTGAAGCTATCCATTGCATTATTATTAAAGTACATTCTCCTTTAAATTGAAATTTATTATGCCTCAATTCATGAAAGGTTTAGGGATAACATGGAAGTCTTATGGGAATAAATGCATATTGATAAGTTGTTTACCTTATTTCATAATAACGTCCTTGAAATTTTCAATCGGAAATTTCCTATGCAAAAAATTCGAACTAAAAATAGAAAAGTATCGATGACCACAAGTGTCTGAACATTGAGGCACAACTTACGCTTGCTGCAAAGTATAGTATTATCAGGAAGCAGAGGAATTTCTAGAGACATTAAGAGAAATGTTATTGAGTAACTAAAGGTGAATCATTATAGAAATAGACTTGAAGAGAACTGGTCTATCATAGACAATATTCACCGTTTCTTCATAATATTTATTTGTAGAAAACCAAATTAGGAACAATCTAATCATTGTTGATCTTGAACAATTGCTAATATTGAATGGATTCAATTTGTTTCAATTGCTTGGTATATTGAAATTTCTGTTGTTGAAGTTATAATATGAAGGTAAATGTTTCGGGAATGTGTTCAAATTATTCTTCACCCTATGACTTGAATACCTACTTTTCAGTATAAAGTGCATGTTCCAGAGGTTAGAGGAGATTCAACAGTCTTCCGATTTTTGGGGCAAATAAGCCAAAGTTTATCTGTTCAAGCTTGATATTTCATAATACCATTTTTTTTTTATTAAAAAAATCTTGCGATTATATTGTCATCATGTCTCATACCCTTCTGTTTGATAATGGTGCCATTACAAAGTAAATTGCTGATGGCTCTCTAAAATATTCCTTCTATTTTTTGTTGATGTTCTGATAGATTTGAGACATTTATTGCTGAACTTTGTGAAAACATCAAAACCAAAAAAATATATATTTTTTAAATATTGCTTACTGTTCAGTAAGTCCCTCTCTATTGGAGCATTGTTTCATGATATATAAACAAAAAGTTACCCTCTCCTTCCAGAAACATTGTATGCAAGTGGTCAAAAAATCTTGATCAATGGTATTGTTGAAAAAACAATACATTGCTATTTCGTTTTCACAATAGGGTCAGGAGATATGGCAGCAAAGTCAGTTTTGAGAAACTAGGGATTCGGAAATTCTTTTGGAAAATCTTCATTAGCAAAGTCGATATTGATGAAAGAGAAAACATTTTTAATTAATTGACCACAAAAATGTATGTTTTCTATTTCAGAATGGTAGATGTGGGAGGACAGAGATCAGAGAGAAGGAAGTGGATCCATTGTTTCGAAAACGTCACTTCCATCATCTTCTTAGTAGCATTAAGTGAATATGATCAGATCTTATTTGAATCAGAAAATGAGGTAAGCTATGGGATATTTTGTATTCTTCAACAGTAATTTGTCAATAATCAAATTGATAACTGATCTATGTAAAACACATTTTTGTATTCATTGTTTTCATTGTTGGTCCCTCCAGGCTATCCAAACAATTCATAAAATCACTAGTGTCATAAAATATTTCTACATTATAATCAATATGTTGTTCTCTTTGTAGAATCGTATGGAGGAATCAAAGGCACTTTTCAAAACTATTATAACGTACCCATGGTTCCAGCATTCTTCAGTAATATTATTCTTGAATAAAAAAGATTTACTAGAAGAAAAAATAATGTATTCACATCTAGTGGACTACTTTCCTGAATATGAAGGTAAGATCTATTCTTAGTTGAACCATTCCTTATTTTTCTATTTACACAAATAATTTGGGTAAGGTGGGAAACAAGACCACATAGCTGCAAGGGAGTACATTCTGAAACTATATCTACGCGAGAATCCTGATCCTGACAGGAGCTGTTATTCACATTTCACTGTTGCCACAGGTTCAAATTTACGGTTTCTAAAGTATTGCTAGATATTCTTGAGAGATTTCCTGTATTTATAAAAATGTTTGGGAATGTAAAGTTGAGTAACAAGAATACCCGAAAGGGTGCTAACTTTTACAGTTCACTTGGGTGGAATCTATTCAGTTCAAAAAGAGGTGGACTGTCTCTATCTTTATATAAAAGCTATAGTAGATCTGCAATATTTTAACTCATTCAAATATCTTGAGAGTTGAGAAAGACTGGGAAATGAGTGAAGTGACCACTCTATAAATTCCTTGAATTTCTCTTGTTTATCAAAGTTGCTTCTGGTAATATATTGTAATATTCTTAGCAATTTTTTGGGAATGAGGAATTAGGGAGCATCAACAAGGAATGGGCTATTGATTGGATTGGTACCGAATTTTTCATAACAATTGTGTCTTAGTTACAAATGGGGAAGTTTCCTTCAGATTACTTTTCATGAAATAAGTTCGAAACTCTCCAGTTTTATGTCCACGCTGTACAAAATGGCGACCGATTAAGTCCAAGTCGTTTTTATTTTCGAATTAAAGCAATTTCTAATTTTCGGAGCGGCAAAGTGTGACGTACATTCTGAATCTAGTCTGAAAATAGCTGATAGAGAAGAATATAGCTAGCGAATAGCTAACAAATGAAAAACGAATGAAAAAAATAGAAGAAGTAAAACTCGCAAACAAAAACATACATAACCCCAAATGCACTCGGAGCAGGAATGCAGAAGGTAGTTGGCTTCATTCTGACAGGTTATGATTTTGTTATTTATGCATTGAAATATCTTCAATAGAGCTCCGTCCTAAACGAAAATATCATTAAATCAATGAATCACTATCGGCTACATTCAATGATACTATCCTTCCTAATTTACTGCCATCGGTCAGAACAGAATGAAGCCGACACCCATGGCTCCTTCCTCTTGTTGTGCCTGTCAGTATTTTGAGTGGTGTGGACGGACTGGTAGTATTTGGCACTGTTGCAAGATATAATCTGCAATTATCCTAGGAAATAGATCCGTTTTATTAAGGAACGAATTCATTAGCAAAAAATGACTGACAAGTTATGAATAATTTATCTTTATTAGTAATCATCTTCATTCAGCCAATGAGAGATTTATGGGAATTATTCATAATACTTGACAAAGTAGGATTGAAGAACCTATTATATCCCATTGCAGTTATGATACAGTTATTATGCATTCAAAAAACAATTGCCGGAAATCTACACATATTGATGATGTCGGCAACGTCGTACTGGCACAGGCAATCGTATTTTAACTCTGTGAATGTGGATTTTCAGAAAGTAAGTCATTGAAGTGAAATTTGATCTTACGAAAAAAAGAAAAAAATACGTATTTATTATTTTTTTACAAACTTCACAGAGAGAGAAAAACCTCAATATAAGAAACTTCCCCATTATTATGTGTTAATTCGGTTCACGTCAATGCTTATATCTTATTGTTATACAGTGTGTCCAACAAGTAATCAGTTCCCCTAGTTTTGCCTTTGAAGGCTGATATTTATTTTACATTTTTGTCATGCTCTGTCTGAAATTTACCAGAATTTTAGAGAACTGAAATATGTTTTGAATGAGGTATCACTTGACCTACCCGTTCAATTTGAAAAGAAAATCTAAAATGGCATCATTGTGAAAATTTTAAATGAAAAATAATCAGTCCATTCGCTCATTGTAGTTGGTATTGCGCAAGTATTGAAGATGTGGATTTTGGTGAAAATGCTAGATTAGTCTCTGCATTGCTAGATGGCTTCAATTGATTTTGTTTAGGTCCCCAACGAGATGCAATTGCAGCTAGAGAATTTATCCTAAGGATGTTTGTAGACCTGAACCCCGACAGCGAAAAGATTATATACTCACACTTTACGTGCGCTACAGGTATTGCTAGAAACAATGGTATACTGCTACCAAAACGAAAAATATCTTTTGTGGAATACTGTAGTGTAAAATTGCAACTGTCGTATAAACGATAATTTCTAATTTGAAGCGCATGATACATTTCATATAAGATCTTTTTCATTTTGGTAAATACTGTCCTATGAAAAATTCAGAATTTCATGTCATTCTTGATTATTTGAAGATTTATTGAGTGTGGTAAGAAGACGAGTAAGGCATTGTTTTGAGCCTATGAATTGAAAAGATTTAAAAATTTTAGTTCCATTTGAACTTTTATGGACTTGCTAAGTTGAACACAATGATTATTGAGGTGGCCTGAGAAGCTAATTTTTTATATCTAAAGCAATAATCTTGTTCTTTCAAACAGGATTTCATATTTTTCAGATTTGTTCTATGTATTATCATAGTGTATTATTCATTAGCTATGAAATTCTGATATTTTCTTCTTCTGCATGTGTGTATTCAGTTGTGTTTGTCACTACAATAGCCATGTTTCAAAAACATTCTGATTAATAATTTCATGATATGATTTTGTTATGGTGACAAACATTTACAGTGGCTTCATAATTTAAGAGACATTATTATTGTAATTTTCTATATTTCAACAGATTCTCATTTTTGCATGCTTCTATGGAATGGATTTTTTTTATGATATTTAGATACGGAAAATATTAAACTCGTGTTTTGCGCAGTCAAAGATACTATAATGCAGTCAGCACTCAAAGAATTCAATTTAGCCTAAGTTTGAAGGTGAAGGTAATTCTCAATATTATTATTATTTTAGTTGTCATCTCAGTGTAGTGCCTAGAATGTATCTAGAGTGCCTAGAATATCTGACATTTGATGCTTTTATAGAGCAAAGACACTCTTATCATGTCTTGAAATATCTGAAAAACAACACAACACAAATTCATTTTTTTTTTAGAGATGTAATCAGTTTTCGTGTACCCCTTCATTGAACGAGTGCAGATCTATTTTTCACGGGAATCAAAACTGACTAGTATTGGTGAAAGCATATTATTTTGTTTGATGGTTTTACAAAAAACAGTACCTTCTATTTTGTTGACAAGTGACAAGATGTCTATTTTTATGCAATGGTACCAAACTCAGAACAATATTCTTTGCAGGAATTATTCGAATATTTTTGGTTTATTCATTCATAACAGATGACTCTTCTAATTTTAGGATTACAAAATCGTCTTGGAAGTATTGATGAAAATTGTAGTTGAAAAATCACGAGCCTATTGAATAGTTCACAAATATGTCAGTTAATCTTCAGTTTAATCCAAATACGTCTCTTTATATTCTCGTTCCATTTGCATTATTTGGAAATTGAAATTCAAAATTGTCAGTGTATGTAACTCTTTTAGGCACTCTAGTAATAACTAGGAATTGATATTGAAAAAAATGCTCATCAATGTAGTTCTCGTTGATTCGCCTTCATTTTTTATATTGTCATCATGGAAAGCGAAAACTTTTCGCCATTTGATCATATTCAATTTCAGCAATCATTTTATTTAGGTAGATTTCTGACAATACATATAAAACTCTTAGTTACATCCATATCCCTTAAATACATTTTCCACTTTTACAAAATAATATTGGGCTTCCACAAAATCTCATTCTGATTTGAAAAAAGTGAAATCTGAAAGCTCAAAAATCGGCTCGCATAATATAAAAATAAACACCTTTGGAATTGTCTCATGACGAATTCTTGAACCATTTCTCTTGAAACAAGGAAACGAAAGAATAAGAATTCACAAAAATTATTACTTCACTCAATGTTTGTAAAGCCGACACCTATAAAAAATGGTTTATCGCTTAATTCGCCGAATTTTCGGTCAAGACGCCAAAACAGATCTGTGAACACTTTTCCGAAAGCGGTCATTATGCAGAAAAACGCCACTGGACGAGTTGCCAAAAGTGGTCATGTTGAATTCACCATGGAAACCGAGTCCATTCGGCGAAGTATCATAGATCCATTGGGATGAGATTTTCGGGTTGCTGGGATATCACATACAGATCGTTTATCGAATCGTTACATATAGGAGCATAAACAATCATATCAAAACAGGGGCGACATAACATTTAATTCATAAAACACTATTTGTTTACGATCATACATAGCTCCAAAGTTTCAAATGAGATAGAAAGAGATGGCGTATAAAATGGCAACGCTGTAAACGGTGCGTCAATGTTCACACTTTTCTTTACCAGTCGCGTAGGTTGAGCGAGGGGCAAGACAATTTTACTACTATGACAAGGCTATTATATTCATAGTACCTTATTGGGACTTACCTAATTTTGATCCATCATTCAGTGGAATTTAAAGAAAAGACAACGTTTTTTGCAATAATGTAGTTGAATAACCTGCGATAACTACACCACTGCTCAAGTTAAGAGGGGCATGACCTAACTTACCGTGAAAATACCAATTTGGGGTGTGAATGGTGAACTTTTTTACGATCCACGTACTATCACACCATAGTAGATTGCTAATAATTGTCTTTAGTTTTATAACTAGAAAACAGTGAAAATAAATTGACACACAGAAAGACCTGAAATGGTAACAAACACAGCACAACAACACTGTAACGTCTAAGTGAATGACTTGAAAATATGCGTTACTCCTAGTAAACACATTATAATTTCCTGTAATGATGAAATTAGTGAAATTTACATTCTCTTAATAGCAGAATTCACATAATTTCAATGAAGAAACAGACAGATTCATAAAAAATCTATATTATACAGGGTGTTTTGTAATATATGTGGGACGCACTTCGAGATGTGAGAGGGCGTCTCAAGAAAATGAAAGTTTTTATAAACAAAAGTCGTAGAAAGCTTCGTTTGTGAGATAGAGGGTGATACGCTAAAAACACTATAGAGAGACTGACGAAGGAATACAAATATTCCGAAAGCTTTCTCAAAAGTAAAAAAAGTTTTCTCTTGAGTCCCACATTAGCTGCATCCCGACAAATCCTATACTTAGTCTATTGATTGATACAGTTACTAATATAATTGAATTATATAATTAATGTATGATCAATGCTTCCCTGGTTTTCAAACACAGGCGGTAGATCTAGGGCTAGGGAATCAGTGTGAAACTAGCCATGAGTTTCAAATATTCTAGGCGCGCGCCATACCACAAATGGTCGTTTATTACTGATTTATACTCATGGCTGGCCATGAAATTACTAGAACCTCCAAAATATGTCCGTGGTTGAAACCATTTTCCATCAATGTATTCTTCTAAGGGTCCCTAATAATCTGTATATCTCTCAATATTTTGTCGAGGAGCAATTAACCCCACAGGCCCCCTTTTTTTTTGGAATTTCGGAAAAAATTCATCTTTATTTATGAATAATGTTCCTCTGATGGTACTTGATAATGTGTACATCTCAGAATAATTTGTCGGGCAAGAATTAGCCCCACAGGCCCCCTTTTTAGGAATTTTGAAAAAAAAAATATAACTTTTTTCAAAATACACGTGGATGAGAGTTTTTTTTTATGAATGTGTTCCTCTAATGGTACTTGATAATGTGTATATACCACAATATTTAGTCGGGCAAGAATTACGCCCATCGGCCACCATTTTTGAAATTTCGAAAACACCTTTTTCAAAATACACGTGGATGAGAGTTTTTACCTATGAACGTGTTCCTCTGATGGCACTTGATAATGTTTATATCTCACAATATTTTTTCGGCCAAGAATTAACCCCACAGGCCCCCTTTTTTTAGAATTTCGAAAAAAAAACAACTTTTTCTGTGTTCCTCTAATGGTACTTTATAATGTGTGTATCACAATAATGGGCTTATATCACAAAAGAAATACGATAATACGATTGAACTCACCCAAACTATCTCACCACCGCAAACCGTTTCTTGCTGTGAGCTCCCTACGTTTTATAAAAAATTATTGAAATCCCCGATTTTTCGGACCTCTGAAGACGAGGCGATGATGTGACGTCAAAACCCTCATACTGAAACAAGACTATTCCAGACAGAGATGAATGATACATGATTTCTGACAGAGTGAATTAGCGCGAGATCACAGTTGAAAGAATTAATATATCAGTTGCCTCAGTCTCCGTCGGACGTTTGGTATTTTCTTTTAACTATGGCGAGATGAGGTTTCTACGTCATAAGAGGGTCCGTTTTCAGAAGGTACTATTATTTATGTCCAAAAATAAAACATTCCAGTTAATTTTTCGATCGAATTATGTCATCAATCATTATTTATGTATAAAAGGATCATTATAAACATGGTTTGAGTTAAAAGTTCTACTAAGGTGTACACGCCCATTTGTTGGGCAAGAATGAATCCCACAGGTCCCCTTTTTTCGAATTCCGAAAATAAATCATAACTTTTTCAAGATACACGTGGATGGAAGTTTTTTTGTCTATGAATGTGTTCCACTAATGATATTTGATAATGTGTATATCTCACAATATTTTGTCGTGCAAGATTTAACCCCACAGGCCCCTTTTTATGGAATTTTGAAAAAACAATCATAACTTTTTCGTAATACACGTGGATAGGAGCTTTTTTTATGAATGTGTTCCTCTGATGGTACTTGTAATGTGATAATGTAATACAATTACATGCCCTGTGTGTAACGATTGGGCAAACAATCTGTATAGCGGGTGTAGACAGTAGTTGCGTCGTTGTTGTTTACTGACGAATTGACACTAAACTATTTATTCCTCTGGCAGATACGGAGAACATAAAATTCGTATTTGCGGCAGTGAAAGATACAATCTTGCAGTCGAACCTGCGCGAATACAACCTGGTCTAGTCGGCCTCGGGTAGGAAGAGCGCTCTGCACGCGTCGCTGACAGTTTCTCGCTTGTCAATCCAGGCCTACCTCCGACCGCCAGCCGGAAGATGTCGCGGCGATCTGTCCATACCGCGGGTTTCCAAACACAGCATGTGATGTTCGAACTGTCGATTAAAGTATATGTGTCCACAGTGTGTGTAACGCTTAGTATAGTGTGCCATTTTGTAAAAAGAAATGAGATCTGGGCGCGGGGAATCGATGGATTTTTTAGAGGAGTGCGGCAGGCATAAGTGACTATTGTATTGTTATAAATTAATGTAGAGGTAGCGAGTAAGAAAATTAAATTTGTTTGGTCCTGCAATTTTTTTCAAAGGAAAAAATGTCTTGAATAAGCCACGGATGTCTCATTTTCATTCGGCTTCGAAACTAGTCTGACGCATAGTCTTTTGTAGTGGGTTTTTGCGCGAAAAGAGTCTTTGTACAATTTTCTAATTAATTTATTCCGAAATCTCAAGTTTTTCCAGTTTTTTTGCGGAAAAATCTGCTACAATACCGTTTTTCAACAATTTTTGACATTTATATCGTGTTTTCATTGTAAACTTCTGCAGATTTCTATGTGAATTAGTCAAGATGTGTTATTTGAAAAATCGGTTTTCCAAAATATACATGAAGCAGAAAGTAATAACAGGGTGTCTTTTTCAATGAAAACATGCAGTCTTCATTCATTTTTGGTATGTGATTTGTCCTAAATTGTTAAATGTCCAACTTCAGATGAGATATGAGTTCTAGATGGTTCATTTTGTCTTCTTATTTTTTTTGTTGTTGCATACTGGGTTTGGGAATATACCATTTACTTTTTGTATTTTCTTTATACACTGTGATTATTCCATTGTCCAAATTTTATTTTTGTGCTGCTTATCCAATATTGACATTGTATTAAAAAAAGTACATCTCAAGTATTGATGATTATTTTCCACGTTGATTATGATATATTCCGAATATGAAACATCAAAATGTACTTGGATTCTCTGAAATTACTTACCCAATATTTTCTATGACTTTTAAGGAACATTTACTTCAGTTTCGTCGTTATTGGAATTAAACAGGGGTGGGATAAAACAAATTTATAGACCAAACAAAGGACTGACAAAAATTCAACGGGTACATTGATCTATACAGGGTGTTTCATTACTAATTGAAAATATTTCAACCATAGACCGAACTCAAAATATGAAGATTTAACCCAAATCACCTAGATGAAATATGTCTCCTGTCTGAGTTACAGGGTGTTTTATTCAAAAATTTTGAAATATTTTTTGTCCAGTTCTTCGAAACTATTTGACGTATCACTTTCATATTTGAAGAGAAGTGTGGGTATTATACACCCATTTGAATTATGTGAAATGAACTTTTCTAGCTATTACCAGAGGCGTACGACAGGGGCAATTAACTGGTTGATCCGTCCAAATTCTACGCCACTGGCGGAATTGCGATTCAATCACAAAGTTTCGATTCTCCAACAATTTTGACGTAGATATTGTACTCTTTCTCCATGGCGATAAAGTCATTATTTTTCGAGATATTTCAAGTTAAACATAAATCTGCACAATCATTTTGATTTCAATGTGCATTAATTTTGTCAATATTTTGGATCAATGGATTGTATTCATCAATAAAATGAAACTCCAATCCATATTAACAATAAAAACATAATTACATAACAGACAGGAGCTGTTACAGGGTGTTTAATTATGTAATATATTGAAAAATTTAAAACGCCCTGTAACAGCTCCCGTCTGTTATGTTTTTATGTTAATATGAATTGAAGTTTCATTTGATTGATGAATGCAGTCCATTGATCCGAAATATCGACATTATTTATCACATTAAAATCAAAATAACTGTGCTGCTTCATGTTTAACTATAATATCTCGAAAAATAATGACTTTATCGCTATGGAGAAAGAGTACAATATTTACGGAGAAGGTATTAAAGAATCGAAAAATTCTGATAAAATTGCAATTCCGCCAGTGGCGTAGAATTTGGGAAGGATCTACCAGTCACTTGCCCCTGTCGTACGCCTCTGGTGATAGCTAGAAAAGTTCATTTCACATAATTCAGTTGGGTGTATAATAGCTACACTACCCTCCAAATATGAAAGTGATACGTCAAATAGTTTTGAAGAACTGGGCAAAAAACATTTCAAAATTTTTGAATAAAACACCCTGTAACTCAGACAGGAGACATATTTTATTTATGTGATTTGGGTTAAATCTTCATATTTTGAGTTCGGGATTCTATGGTTGAAATATTTCCAATTAGTAATGAAACACCCTGTATATGTACAATGCAGTGTAGTTATTATCTCCGACCCAGCTACCAGGTGTCCCAAATGCAAGGCTTGCTTCTTCTGTCCTTGAAGAAATGGAAATGAAATTTGGGGGACAATTGAGACATAAAATTAGTTTTTTTTTTAATATTTAGATGAAAGTTTCTGTATCTCATCCAAACAGGACACACATTTTTATAAACTTTCCTTCCTTAAATATGAAAAGGAATCGTCATCTGAATTGTTTCGTACTTATTCTTTTACCCTGTATATGTCCTCCAATTTTCATTTCTATATATTTTGAAACAACACAGTAAAATATGAGTCATACCTGTGGGATACCTGGATATCTACTAATCAGTGGCGGCTCGTGACCTTCATGACAGAGGAGGCTGAATGATATGAGATTTATTGTGAAAAACAACTCTCTACGACTCACCCAAATCAATAGCTTTAATGACATTCTGTTTACCAGTTAACCTGAACTTGATACTTGAAGAGATGTGTTCCTGTGATTTGCAGTGTCTATCCAATCCGCGAGGCAAATTTTTCAAATCATGATATCCTCATCGCCCCCAACATGATGACCTATCGGTTGAAAATAATACGCAGTACCAACAAAATAGCTTATTCCTTACCTCAGATCCCGTCAACTAGATAATATTTTTTATAATTATCAGAATTGCACCAACGATTTTGTTTGTTACCTGTTACAATCAGATTTTTCAATTCCGGTGTCGGACGTTTGTTTTTCACAATCAATTTATCTTCTTCATAAGACAATGCACTGAATGGGTTCACCAAAAAGTATCCCACTAAATCGCAATCGTTTAAAACAACCATTAACTAAACATAAACAGTGCACTCGCGCTGGATTGTCCGCAATTTGCGACGAGACACGACAACACGTGCTATTCGGGCATTTGCATTGCGCGCATGGGTTGCGAATTGTGAAGGAGTCTAGCCTCCTATAGATGTTGCCAAGTTGAATATTTTACGCGTGATTTGCAGACTTCAACGTGTGATGCGTGGGCAAGCACTGTTGCCAATTCAAAAATATTTACCTGAAGACAGGAAATGAAATCAATATCCATGTATTTTGGTGTCCTTTTAATGAGAAAGTATAGATAATATCAGTTTAAGGAGAATCTCTGAGGAGGCTCAGCCTCCGTTGCCTCCTCTGAGGAGCCGCCACTGCTACTAATGGATATCACAGAAACTCAGGACTGTTTAAATCACTCATCATCAAATTCAATTTTTTTTTCATATTTCTTGTGTCTCTAAAATCAGATTTTGAAATGATGACTAATCAAACCAAACTGAAAATATCTCATCCTGATTAGTTGGAACACCCTGTGTGCAGTTTTCTGCGATTCTCGATAAAGCACCGTCAGTGAATTGACGTGGTGAGAATGAAAGAAAGGTTACATGTAAAGATCTGTGCTTTCTTTGCGTATTGTTGAGTTAACAAACTATACTAATGGCAATTAAAAAAATTTATATAGGAGCTTGGTTTTCTGTGGGTATGAATATTGGCGAATGCGAGATGACTGTGATGAGTAGGTGAAGTGTTATGCGATAGAATATGAATTTGTAAAATCATTTCTTGTCAAAGTATAGAATTTTTTTCTGATTATTTGCGTCTCATTTGCCTCGTTCCTAATTATTAGTTTTTTTTTTTTTCGGTTGATTCAATTCATTTCATACTCTTCAGGGAATGGATATGTTCTTTTTTCTACAAACGTCAAAAAATGACAAGGTTCGCGCATTGATTACAAATTGCGAAGTGACACTTTTTTTTAGTTCCCTACGTTACCATGATACCTCGCACAAAACAATGCGCGAAGTAAAACAGTGCGCGAAGTACCTACTTCGCGCATTGTTATGTAAAATATATGAGATATTTATATTTCAACTTTATGGTCCTCAATCGAGCAAACGTACACGGAATCATTTATTTCTGAATGTTCAACAATAACTTTGTTTAATCTCTTGGATCGCACGAAAGAAAATCCCTATTATGTTCGTGGAACATCGTGCGTACCTAAGGGAGGATAGTGGGAGGCCTTTTAGGCCAGTTCAACACTATTATCTATATTAAGCTTAGCATATTTTTACTTTGGAGCAATATTTTTTGACGTTTGTAGAAAAAATTTTGTTTGCAACTCGAGCGCGAAATACTTTGGTCATCTCGACTATTTTTTTAACTCGGCTACGCCTCGTAAAAAAAATCAGATCTCGATCACCAAAGTAGCATTTCGCGCTCTAGATACAAAAATAACTTTTAATCCCTTAATCCATCATCAGAGATACCAAAGTAAATACCTGTAATTTTTTCTTAAACGCCATTAACGCTTTAAAGGCACATAATTTTTCGATGTCAACATGATAACTCTTCGCCAGTCAGCGAAATTGACATTTTGAAACTAGAGTACCGCTTCGAGTACGAGAGTACTGTCATTCATTATTTTCTCAATATTTAATTTTAGTTCTACTCCTGAAGTGCATAAAATAGTATACATGGTGTCCGCTAATTGAAGGTACACAGCGAAACTGTAGATTCCTTGTATACAAATATTGAGTTTTATCCAAACTTGCCTCAGTACAAAAGTTGATAATAACAAAGATACAGGGTCAAAGTTTGACTTAACATTTCGTTTTTTTCTCAATAATTCATCGACAGCAGGCAATTTGGCATTAGGTTTTCTGAGGTAAATAATCAAAATCCGTTCCTAGTTTGGATGTCACTTGCAGGGGGAGCCACTTATGGTACAATAAATCTCTTTCCAATGATTTAACTTTTTTGTCACGGTGTATTAGCCTAAATGAAGATTATGTATTTAACATATTCTCGTAAAAACGGTATACTTTGCAAAGTTCTCTCGGAGTGGCAATTTTCGAGATATCTGCATATCAATTATTCAATAAAACTTCACAAATTCCCAGTTGTGTTTTTTTTTCAAATAGGCTATGATCAAATCAGATGCAATAACAAACCTTGCGTAAAAAATGTTGAATACATAAACTTCAACATTTAGACTAATACACCATGACACAAAAAAATTAAATCATTTTAAAGATATCCAAACTAGAAACGGATTTGAAATTCTCGCCTCAGAAAACTCCCTAATGACGAATTTCGTGCCGTTTTGTCACCTTAATGTTGATAGTGTTGATGAGTTATTGAGAAAAAACTAAATGCATATTGAAAATTTGACACCCTGTATCTTTGTAATTTTCAACTTGGCTGGGGTAAGTTTGGCTACATCTCAATATTTTAATTCAAGAAATCTGCTGTTTTGCTGTGTTCCATTGATTAGCGCGGACACCCTGTATATAAACCACGGGACTAAAGTTCTTTATTTCTGACAGTGACATTATAAGCTTATATCGTCATAGTTACGATATCTATTATGAGGGTCATAACTCCCTTGGGATGTTATAGATGCTATAATTCCCTCTAACTAAAATTAAATAAGAAATGCATAGCAACAACCACGCAGTAACGTAGCAATAAGGAATCTCCTATTCGCGGTAGTCAAGATCATCATCTGACGTTCTGATGACATTGAAACTATACGGAAAAACATGTCTAACTTCCAATCGTGAAGGTATCTAATGAATGAAATCAGTCAGAAATAAAATTATCTATGTATCACGGGAATTACTGAGCCTCAATAACCTCAGGCAATTGCTGTCCCTCGGGCCAGAGGCCCTCGGGACGCAAACTTTGCCATCGGTAATTAAGGCCCTCATAATTCCCTTAATACATAAATAAATATTTTAATCCCAGTCCCCGGGTTTTATAATCTACTATTATAAATATTTTATGCGATTTTAGTTACTCCCTGCGATATTAAAACGTGAAATTAATGAACTGAAGTTCCAGAACAAGGAAACCCTACTTGAAAAAATATTTTTATTGGATATTACATAATATATACAAAATGAAAGATATCAAATGAAAAAGAAAAGACGAAAAAATCGACTTACTTTCTTGCCTGTATTGACTGATCATTTTTTCATCGCTCTCGGTATAAGGATCTAGAGTAATAAGAGATGCACTTCCAATTTACAGCATGATTAATACTTAGGGTAATAACGGACATTTATTATTTAACCAACTTTGTGTGGATTTATGCAGCATCATTTAACATGTATCATGGTAACAATTATCAATTAACATTTATCATGTAACAAGTAGCGAAAATGGTACCATCTATGCAGACCAAATTACCATTTAAGAAGAAATTATACGCATGCGCACAAGTCAGTCCTTTCAACCTAACCCCCCTTTTTTATGTAAAAAAAAAAATAATACATTATCAAATGTTATAAACATATGAACATTTGTTTCCTGAAATGGAAGAGGCAGAAGCGCTTTTTGTCCTGATGATGCTGTTGACGGCCTGACATTTAATTTTTAGGTTAATATCATTACCGGGCGGACCAATCCGAGATAATTTGCGTACAAGGTTGCGCACAATAGGAAAATCTGGTTCATTTAATGTAAGAAGTTAAAAGTTGGCCAACATTCTACATGTTACATGATAAATGATAATTGTTAAATGTCTGCATAAACACAGTCATTGGAAAATATAAAATTCAACTTATATATAATTGTTAATTGTAAAATGATAATTGTTACATGATACATGTTAAATGACGCTGCATAAATCCACACTTTCTCTATAGCTCGGATCCAGATGATGAGAGAGAAAAAATGATCTGTATAATAAATAATATATTCAATTCAGGCTTGAATAATCATATAAAAATAATTGGTTTGTATAACAGTTAAAATAAGTTTCGACATATAGGACAGGAACTCTTGTAGCTGGTCCTGAACCATTTGTACTGAAAATAAAATGGATATTTATGCCACTTCCAACAGTGAATTTATGGATCTTCCATAAAACGATTCTTAAAGCCGCTCAAACAAAATAGAGAAGTCCTGCTAGCTTTGTGAGAGGAAAATATGTCTTCCCCATCTGTTCTTATCTTCAAAGTTCCAAAATAAAAAAAATTAAATTGTATATTGGTTAACACTAAAAATGAGCAAGAAGAAGAAGACCAATTTAACCTCAATATAAACATAACAGAGTTGACGTTGTTGCCCTGAAGATAGGGGCAGAATATAGACTTTTTCACCCTAGCTAAACTTCTCTATTAGAAAATTAAGTTTGGAGAAAACCATTCAAAAGAGAACTTCCCACTCAATACATTTCATGAAAATTTCAAATCCCTTATGAGTGTTCAAAATACTTTGTTTCATTACATATAACTCAAACTAGATATCAAAGGCGAATACAAAAAAAGTATTATTCCAAGAGCCGGCCGATCACTATCCTGAGCAAAATGATGCTGTGCGGTAATTTGCACTTACTGTCTCGATTTGAAAAGAAGACAAGAATTATACCATTTGATAACAATTGATTTGTAGATCTCAAAACCATATACCTGCGCCACAGTGTCACCCCTTAATCTAAGTCAAATCCACGACACACTGTTTTATTTGCTGCCAGTATTCCGAACATACTTCCGTCATGTGATAACGAGTTGAAACAAAATGAAAATGTAAGAGGAGGATGTCCCCTCTGCAAATATTTTTTTTATGTTCTTGTTCCCACGAAAAGGGGTATCCTGTAATGTTCAGAGAATATCGTGAGAACCAAGGGAAATTAGGTAGGAATTGGTGTTCTTCTTAAATTTCTGGAGGTTATATGAGCAGGGGAACACCTCCCTTGGCAATGTGTTCCGCGATTCAAACTGATCTAAGTTAGTGGCAGAGCGCTAATATTGCCGAGAAAAATTCGCCCCTCAAAAGATAATATCCGATGGACCAGAGTAAAACTCAACATTTGATTACTTGTAGTGCAAGCATAGTGGAGTATTACGTTTGGTTTTACAATGGTCCATCGGATATTATCTTTCGACAGGGGCAAAATATTCTCGGAAATATTTACATTTGGTGTTCCCCGAGGCATATAACCTCCATAAATTCAAGAAGAACACCAATTCCTACCTTATTTTCCTTGGTTCTCACGATGTTCTCTGAACATTACAGGATATTCCTTTTCGTGGGAACCAGAACATAAAAAAATCGCTTTATTTGCTTTTTGTTTGTCGGAATAATAGCAGCAAATAAATCGCTGTGCCGTGGAATTGACTCAGATTAAGGGGTGTGGCGTGTGGCCGTTACCACCGATACAACAAGGCCAGCAGACTCTGACGTAAACAGCTCGTGACGTCGCCAAGTGAGTCCAGTGTTTTATTTTATCGCTTGTCGACTAACGCGTCAGTTCGTGTTAATTCATCGGTGATTCACGTATGTTTTTGAAACGGTCCCGAATTCTTTTCTTGTTTATTCATCAAAATAATTGGCGGAAAAATTACTGTTTTGTGAAATATTTTGTGTTGTGATCGGCGAAATAACAATGCCTTTCAAGTGTTGTGTTCCCTTTTGTCGGGGGAATTATGTGGGTGGTTCAAAAGTTCATACTTTTAGTGTCCCGTTGGACGAGGGTCTATAGAAAATGTGGGTAAGTATATGCAATTCACCGCGAGGATTTTACTCCATCTAAGTATCTAAGTTCAGTAGTAAACAGAGCTTAATTTATAATGATGAATTAATAATAGAAGACAATTACTCTCTCATAAAAAGTATAAGTAGAGGAAGAATAGAAAAGCTTTGATTGTGCAGTTAGTTTTGTATTCGTATATTATAGTCAACAAAATCATCTATGAATTCGAGGAAATTTTCTTCATATTAACGGGCATTTTTAATTCTCATTCTCAAACTTTCTGAAAACGGTCATTTGCCTCGTGGCAATGAATGCAGAATTCATTCCAATGATCAAATTGCAACTCATCATCATATCATATTAACATGAACTACAAACACTACTCAAAAAAGGTAAAACTGCATTTATCATGAAGATAAAAGAAGAAAGTTTCAAATTTCACCTTCTTTTTCACCTGTCTTCTAGATGGCATTTAGAACAAATTTTCCTTCTTTTTTCATCATATTGGACAATTTATATATAATTCAACTATAAATATTATTTTCTTGAGATTAATCCATATTTGGTGAAAAGAAGGAAGAATATCATTCAAAATAATGGCGTGTGTAATGTCATCAGAAAGCAATCTATTGACATTTGACATCTCGTATTTTGATTGACTATTGATTAAATGGTCGTCATCTGGAATGCTTGTTCGCTAAATATGAAAAACTCGCCATAAAAATCATATTTCCTGTTGAATTTTCTATATAAAAATGTGCCATCGAAGTACATCATGAGTATATAAAGTGTCAATGACAAAATAAGAGCAAGTAGCTTCAAATGCCCCCAACACAAGGGGAGAAAGAAGGCGAAATTTCTTTTCTTGAAATATCTCAATAAATAGTGGTTTGTTCACATTTTCATTATAAAATTCGGTTTAGACAAAAATACGTGAGTACCGAAAAAAATTTCAAAAAAAAAAAAACCAACGCATGATAAATGCAGTTTTACCATTAAAAATTACGGTTTTAAGTGTAACGATCCACTTGGGTGAAAAATCCAACAACAGAAAATTGAAAACACTTACTGGTTATTTTTTCAGGTAATAGGAATTCTCCAAGATAAATATAGGTAATTGTAACAAACGGAATGTCAATCAAAATAAAATACATTTTCCACAATTTTTTTTCCATCAATCTCACGATAAGTTTATGTTCTGCGGCCCCTGTATAAGTAGGTGTGAAGTTTACCTTCACCACAATTTTTGCCAATATATTAAATTCGAATGGGTTGCTGTAGATGGATATTTTTGTGTTTTATCCTGGTTTTTGCTTTAAAACTTCGTTTTTCCATAATAAAATCGAATGGGGTGCGAAGAAGGGCTCAGTTGACGACTGGCATCCTTTTTTAACCGGAAGCCCTTCAGAAAACAGCAAAATCGGCTCAATGATGATCTAAAACTAAAATCGAAATACGCGGTCGCCTTATAGCGCTATAAGCGCTTGTCTTTTCGAGCCGCTGGTTAGGCCTGACTAAGTGACGTCACCCACGGAGAATGCAGGCCTTGTTGTATCGGTGGTAACGGTGTGGCACAGGTAGTTTTTTCGAGATCTACCATTCGATTGGTATCTGATGGCATAATTCTCATATAGTTATCAAATCGCGGAATTGAGTGCAAAATTAACGCTCAGGAAAGTGCAATTTTTACATCAGTGCAATTTTTACATCATGTTGCTCAAGATAGTGATTGGCATAGGTACCGTTCGACAAAATACAATGTTTTTACACGCCTTTGGGACATAAGAAAGCAATTTTTATTTTGAAAAATCAGATATTTCTGAAAATTGAGCCAGAATTTGGGATTGAATCTCGTATGGTTGAACCAGCAAAAGGTCCATCAAGTGAAAATAAGTTCTTACCAAACAGGCTGAATGAAATTTTTTCTTGCATGTCTGACAAGACAACTTCGGCATCTGATAGGTCCCCGGATGCAGAACTGCAAAACAGATGTAGCATTCCTCCACACCGTCGAATTTCTTGTCCAAATTGTTATTCCATAGGGACAGTCCATCCCATATCCTACCATTCTGAAACAACATAATTCGTTACACCATGTTTTACTACTGATCAAAGCGATTTTTTAACGCTTAGACATGTGTTTCGCTAACTACACTTCCCCAAAAAACTAACGCACCACTAAAAAGTATCCAAAAGTTTGAGATACATTTCATTCAAAACTACTTGCCTGATTTGGACGATTTTTGTTTGGAATCATAGGTTATCTTCCTGTGAATATTGGCGTACAAACACGTTTCTTATTCGGATTCACCCCATTATCTTTCCTATTTATCCAGAAACACAATTTCATAGCATAAAGATTTTATTGTATCAAAATGGCATTATAAGCACGAAAGTAGCAGGATATGGTCTACGGAGGCATTTCTCTGATCGGTCGCATGAAACTTGTGATCATAATTGATTTTTGAAGAAGATTTTAGAAGTTAGTGGCAAAGCGTCAGTATTTACGCGAATATTTCGCTCTCGTCGAAAGATAATATCCGATGGACCAGTTTGAAACTCATGTGGTGCTCACAATACTCACATGTTGAGTTTTACACTGGTCCATCGGTGGCACAGATAGTTTTTTGAAATCTACCATTCAATTGGTATCGGATGGCATAATCCTTTATTTTGATTTTGATTTGATTGAAAACAAAGAATATTGAAATTTTTTTGAGATTCTTGGGAGATTTTAGAAGATGGAGTTAAAGTTTATCAAAAATCTTAGCAGCCTCTTCCGATTCTGAAGATTCATCTAGGTACATTGAAATCCATATGTCCATCAATGTGTAGTATATTCCATTATTCCATCAAAACAATTGGTGACGTCATGACAAAAATGCGCGCGCATTAATTAGTGCGGACTTTCTTGATGGGATGAAAAACTTGCAAAAAAAACTGTGAATGCCGAATTTGGTAATTCCAAGCCCCCAGTGTGTTCATTGGCGTACTCATCTAGGTTTTCAAGGATGTGTTTTCCCTCTTTCGTGGCCCGGAGTTGTGTTGTCCCAATTAAACCCAAGTAACCAATATTTCTATTCAAAACGCTTACTTCTTGAATTCTCCAGACATACAAAATCTTCAGGGGGGATACTAGGCAATTGGCTGCTACTTCTTATCCGAATAATAGGTACAATGGTCAAAAGGTACTTACAGTACATACTCCAATAACCAACAATACAAACCACCACCACATCTAACTACCTTATTACTTTTTATCAAAAATCAAATAATAACTGTACAGTTATTACAGTTTCAGCCACTGGCTTCTAACTGACCAACTCTAACCACTAACCTCACTTAATTCCCTCCAAAGCCCGAGAATTCACCGTCACTTGCTACTTGTCACCAATACCCATCTCACTCTTACCCAAAATACACTACGTGAACAAAACATAGTAACTAGCTAATATAAGCAATCCAACAAGAGTTAGGGTGACCAAAACACATCACAGAGTGTTCCGTTGATTACTCTAAAATTTTCTGTGAGCAAATCCGCAAGCATCTATCACGTGATTCATTGTGACGTATAAGAACTTTTTTGTTGAAATTCTTCGAATGATTCAGTATTCTCGTCAAATTTTGTTGGACATCTGTCAAGAATATCACAATTTCTTCTCATTTGTAATCTTGTTCAAATTTCAAATTGAAATATTATAATTCAGTGACACTGGTAGGGAATAAAATTCTGTGTCATTAATGGTCTATCAAGCAGGTATAGATATTTTATAGTTAGTTGAGTGAGTGTATTTTACTTTTTTCCACCACTATAGCTATAGAACCTACCATTATTTACTCCTTTTGAAGGCATAAAGTGTGTTTTTACTACCTAGGTAGTTTTCTTCATTTTATGAACCACTAGTCAATAAAGACATAGCCACCTCTGTAATAATTAACCCGAATTCACTGTTCCTATGGGACATTCGAAGGAATGACATCCGATTCTAGTAAGTATTTATCAATTCGCGATAGAACATAACACGTCACCCCACCTGACGGCAACAACTCGAACACTTCTGACTGGTTTGTTTTCATGATATGGCCAATAGTTGCGTTTTATTTATCCGATTCTGCCACCGGAATCAGTTTAATGTGTCGTTTTATTTGCAACTTTTCCGATTCCGGTTGCTACTTTTCATTCCGTCTCTCTACAAGGAATGATGTGGAATGACTGTTGACAGGTGTCAAAAAATCAGAATAGATTGATGAAAAACGATTCTTTTTGAAAGTAAAAGACATTTAGAAGACATTTTCATCGTGAGTTTCACTAGTTCATGATTCTTTCAATTAGGACAGGATTTATAATATGTTCATTACCAGATAAAATGAATTCTCTCGATCTCAAAGAAGTGTCCCCAATAACCACAATCACTGCTCCAAATATTAGTTGATTCATTTTCTAGATTCTTAACTCTAGTAAGTATTATAATTTTGAAATGTTGGATCCCCCATATAACCTCTTATGCAAGGTCATGAAGTTTTCTCGTTTTATTTGTAAACGTCATTCTGTTTTCACCACCGCTACCAGAATGGAACAAATAAAACGCAACTAATAAGCACGAACAAAAAACAAATTTGAACCAATGAAAACAAAGTAAACATGCCGCTTTGACATCTTCCAAGAACTCCGATAGATGGCGTACGCTAATTTTCTATCGCGAATAAAGACGTATGATATCATGGTCATGGCAACAAGATTTTAATCAGAATTGAAAAGAAGTGCTTTCATAGTAACAATTGTTCCATATTTCAGTTTCACAGAACTACACTATCGGACAAAAGTAAAGCAACACTTTCGAAAAATGAAAGAAATCTCGATTTTATATAAATTGCCGACTTTATTTTATGTTTAACTAATATTTTTGTGCTGGATTAATCATGCCAAGAGGTATTACAATTGCGAGAGAATTGAAGCAGAGAGTAATAAATGCGCGCTTGGAAGGTGCAATACAAGCCACAATTTCAAGACGGTTTGTTTTACCCAGATACAGCATATCCAAAATAATTTCAAGTTACCATGAAAGGGGACATTTTGAGATTCTACCTAAATCGGGAAGACCGAGAAAAACAACAATTTGGACAGACAGACGTATTGAAAGAATTTCTCAGAACGATCCTTGGTTGTCTGCACCTAGAATAATTGCTGAAATTCCCGGTCCACGAACAGTGCAAAGAAGGTGTAGACGCAAAGCTATTTAGTAGACGCCCCGCTAAAAAACCGCTTATTTCGGCAAGAAATAGAGTGGCTAGGCTTGAATTTGCACGTCGACATTTGAATTGCACAGTAGACGAGTAAAAAAAAGTTCTATTTAGTGATGAAACGCCTTATAAGATTTTCAATTCTGATCGAATGAAGCGTGTGAGACGGCCAATCAACACAAGGTTTAATCCCAAATACGTTACACCCACAGTTGAACATGGTAAAGGCAGTGTTTTTCTATGGGGTTGTTTCTCATGGAATGGGGTAGGCCCTTTAAGCTTTATTAATGACACCATGGATCGATTTGTCTATGAGATATAATGCAAAATGTAATGTTGCCTTATGCAGAGTGGGAAATGGCGTTGAGTTTTATTTTCCACCAGGATAACGATCCAAAACACTTCACGAATTGTTCAAGAGTGGTCTCAAGAAAATAATGTTCGGGTTTCGCAGTGGCCGGCTCAATCCCCAGACCTCAACCCCATTGAAAATCTATGGGAGGAAGTAGAACGTGGAATTCGTACACAAATATTTCCAAATAAACAATCATTGGTAAATAAAATCAATGAAGTTTGGACAAACCTTCCCGAAAATACTTTTCAAAAATTAATTGATTCAATGCCGCGACGTTGTCGGCAAGTTATAAATAATAATGGATATTCTATTGACTATTAATATAATACTTCTGGCTATTGTGATTATTAAATGTGTTTAATGTTCTTTCATCGTAATATCTAGAATTAAATACCGTTGACACAATTTGTTGCTTTACTTATATCACAGTACATGTCGTCGATTTTGATAATTATAAGTATTTCTCTACCTTTATTTTGTTCAAAGTGTACCAAAATATTGTGAAATATTACTGATATTGTGGGGATCATATTTCATTAAAATTAGCCGGGGATCAACATCATACAAATAAATCTTCAGATTCAAAGAAATAACAGCACTTTGTTGCTCTACTTTTGTCCAATAGTGTATAATGATTGAAATATATATGCTAGTAGTGAAAAAATGTAAATAGACACCTTGGTAGTGAACAATATTATTACCACGTGACCTTATACCCCTAGGCTGAAGCCTCGAAAAATAATCTTGGTGCCTGAGTAATAATGATATTCTTCACTACCTTGGTGCATGAATAACTATTACCTGGTGAACGACACTTTTTTTGAACTGAAGTATCCACTGTTTGTGGGCGGCTCCGGCTATTTGCTTGTTGCAATGCACCTCCAGCATCCCCAGAGGATAGTTTGCAGGCAACTTGATCAGCAGTTCCACTTGCGATTCGTCTACGGTGTAAGTCGCCACCACTTCTCTGCTACCAGGAATAACTCTCAACTAAAACAAAAATTGAAAAAATTTGTAACCAGTCAGGAAATGCGTCTTTTTGTGTAACGACAAAATATCCTAGCGAAATCAGATGAGTTATCATATGAAATTATTGTTTTCAGTAAATGTAGCCTTTAAAATTTAATACAAAGAAAGTTTCCAAAATGAAAGTGAACTTCAAAGTGGTGCATAAAATATTTTCCTTTGCGATACAGCTCCCTTTTATTAGAGAACATGTATATTCACCTGTATTCACATTCGATTTTGAACAATATCCAATTAATTTCAAGAAATAGAGTCGATTTACCTCCATGAGAGACAAAAATTCTTACCCGCCCGTGAAAGGTAAAATATATTGGCTGCAGTAAGATTTGTTGTCAATAGACCTTGAGAGCTGAGCAATCAGTTCCTTCATCGCTATTCTATTGATTTAATTACAATTTTGTTTTCCAATACCACTAATTACATACAATGGGGGAGACCACTGATTTTTTAAAATGACATTTTCGTGAACTCTATACTGAAAAACTACCAACGAATTAATTTTGAATTCTGTCATTCACGCTAAGACGATGAAAAAAAAAAAATTAGAATATGTCCATTTCAAAACACACAATTCCTGCGTCATTTGAAATGTTGTCAATTCATTGGTGTCTCTGGTGCGACGTCTTATTCCCAACACGCCTATTGTCCTTGAACTGACCAATCCCACTGCAACACTGCAGAATGACGAGGTATCAGAGAGAGATAGCTACAGTTCGGGACTAATACGTCACGACTCCACCATCATATTTGGCTGTTTGAAATATCGAATGAAATATGCTGATTTCAAAACGATATAGATTCGATTCCCTTCAACTTTAACTCATAATATTGATTGTACATCAAACGTGAATCATGATTCGTCGATTGAAAGAGGTTTGCACGGATTTCTTCTCTCAGTGGTCTTCCCCATTCTTTATATTATTCAAAGAATAACTATACTCTATCGAAGGTTAATTCTCTTGTAGAAAAATTACTAATATTTCCTCTTTTCATTTCAATAGTAGCACATGGACCAGGAGCCCAAACCGTGTTTTTTGTGTCTCATTTGTTTTCACGCTCAGTAGTATAAGAAACTTCCAAATTCCACCTTCCACTACTCGGATATGAGGTCACCGAATGAAAATCTTGGACCACAGGGTGGGGGCAGCGTAGGTAAGTTGTGGGTAAAGTTGTTTTCTAACCCGGGGTCTCGAATCATTACTTACCGTTCGGCGTATGTCGCAAGGTACTGTAATGGGCGAGTGGACTACTGACGAATAGGAGAGTGGACATTTCTTTTTATTTCTTGAATATCATAATCACAATACCTTTCAATTTCATATTTATTTAGAATTCTTCGGTCCGAATTATTAGTTATTCACACACTCATAAATTCTCAATTATGTATTGGTAATATTAAGGGGCCAGGTAGCCGTGCGGACAGAGTGTCAGTATTCTAATCCGCTTTAATTGCCGGTCGTGAGTTCAATTCCCGCGACTGCAGGAATTTTTCTGATGGCACAAGAAAGTGTTTGGGATCACACGTTAAAAAGGAAGGCCACCGTCATTCCTTGCTCGCACAAGACTCTCGAAGACTTCTGAGGATTGCTCGTGAGGAGGCAACCACTGAACTATAACCCTACAAATGGAATGCTGATACAGCTACCTGCATGTGAATATTTTACGCCTCCAATGGAGATCATGACTTTAAGGTTCTGCGCCGGAAGCAGTAGAACCAAGATATGAAAAGAATGTCCGTTATTATCGAAATTGCTTACAACTGCAGACGTATGTCGTTGATTAGGTGTGCTCCCATCAGGAGAGGCTTAGATATTTTTGTGCCCATCATCTGCCAAGCCTTTATTATTGTTCGTTTTCATATGTTTTTTATTTCCATTGTTTCATTGTTCATGATCGTGTCTGTGTCCTGGTATTTGGATGATATTTTGTTCGTTTATATTTTTGAGTTGTGACCGTGATTTTGGTGACTTCTCATTTAAAAGAGCAAGGTTACCAAGTCACCAATTATAATCAACCAAAAAAAAAACGTTGTGTGCTCCCGGTTTAACACTGTTTAACAGAATAGTGTTCTCTGAAAAACTGACCATATTGATGAAAATTTGGTTGGAATTATGAGACTGAGAACTGAAATTTAGAAGAAGTTGTCCGTTTCAAGTGAGATACCCTGTATATCGTTGTATGTCTCCCATGTGGATTGAGAATACGGGATAGTAATAACCTAAAACCTCCAAAACTTCCTTTCGTTTAATAAAAAAATTCCATTTTCAGAATGGATATGCAATTAATCTCTCTTTGGAAAGCGTATTGAATATTCAGAATCTAATATACAGGGTGTTAAAGTTGGAATCAAATCAACTTTTCATTATTTCCTCAGAAACTAAGTGATATACAAAAATTTAATAGGGGACAAGAAAATTGTATTTTGATTTGTTTAATCTTATAAAAATATCTCACTTGAAAACATCTATGTCGTAGGTACCTCATTTACCATAAATATCGAAACGGTCACCCACTGTGACGCCACTGAAATCATTATTTCGAATGTAATAACACCAAAAAAAGCTTTTTGATATTGTTGACAAAATCATCAAATTTTTTTTAATATTGGAAAACAGCATTTTGAGTAATTAATAAAAAAACTTATTTTTTATTAAAACTTTGACACCCTATATCTTGAAAACGAAGGACATATGTTTATATGAACTTTTTGTCTTAGAATCACCCCTTGGAGTTTAAAACATACCTAAATAACACCCTGTCTCGCGAATAGCTTAATCAATAGATTTCAATTATTATAGTGTAATGATATTTCCCTTAGAGGGGCTCTAGAAACATCATCAGTGAGACAGGAGTACAACGATCATCCTGTAACACGCATCCCAGATTGTTCTCCAACCTCCCAATGATTCCTACATACACCAGCATATTTCCGAACACTCAATATATGCCGCAGTGACAAATAACGTGACAGAAGATTCTGGAATGTTCTGGAAACAATCGATGGAACAATTAGAGAGAGAGGTTTTGTTCTAAGAACCTTCTAGAACAAGAAGAAGGAGACGGAAGATCATTCGAGAACGTTCTCGAAACAAAACCTTCCAAGGGATCTCATATATAAACGGCCGAACAACTGCCGTCAGTCAGTCGAGCAGCGAGTGTCAGAGAGACAGTTATATACCGCGTGATATAAATCGTTTAACATAAATAGTAGTTATAAGTTCGATATAAATTAGTGTTTCTTTAGTTCAAATAAATGAGTTCGAAAATAAATAGTGTCGTGTTCGCTTCTGCACCCGAATAACGTAATAATACCTTTTCCACTGAGATTTGTTTCAACTACTGAGATGAGAATATTTGGAGTAGGTACTTACTGTCATGTTCTTGAATTTACTCTGATTGGACACCAACTCGTTCAATTCCTGTGTCACCAAGTTTCCGGAGACGAATGTTTGCGTCACTTTCTCCACCATTTGGGACAGTTTGCTATCCAAACTGGTCCACCATTGTCGTACGAGGGCAGGTAGTTGTGTCAACGAAGACGAATACAGCCAGCACACCAATGATTCTATTTTCTCGCTGTCGCAGGTATCTAGATCGACATATACATTTTTCATTTATTCATCTATTCCTAGCCTATCAAACGTGCATTGAGAAAATGAACCTCTTAATACCACATTTTGCAACATTCTCGAATATTATGGAACATTTTAACCACTCTAGAACATTATCGGACATCTTAGAAATGCCAAGAATATTCAGCAACATTCTGGACAGTCTGCGCTACTTCAGCACTCAATTTGTCACTTACAATTACACGAGAGCTTTTTTTTGTCTAAGTAAACTTGACATGTATCAATAAGAATTTTGTTGCCTGCTAATTTGACAAAAGAAACTGCCTCTGAATTTTTTCTGGCAGTTTTTTGAGTTGAATTATCTATAGCAACAAGTTTACTTCCACTAAAGGAAAAGCTAGAGTGTAATTCGGTAAGACAATTTAATTCACCAAACATTTGTTTATGGCTGGTCATCATGATTTCAAAAGTTAGGTTCCGTTATTGTCGCTGGAAATGTTAGGGCAAACTTTTTTCGCTGTCATAATGACAAAATCACGCGACTTGTGGGATTTTTCATACATGAATTGAATTCTCAATGGATTAATGAATTATATTGCGCATTCCATTAAAAAGAAACATTTTCTTTTTTTCTTCAACAAATACAAAATCTGTAGGAATTATAAAAAAGAGTTGAGGTGGAGGTGGGGCTCAAAAGAACCATGAAGTACCTTTTTCTCAGGCCTGTTCGTTTGTATTGCTGAACTTGCTGAAGTTGCTTTTTTACCCATAGTTGTCTCTGTTCATGGCATGATGTAAACAGAGAAAGTCATAGAAAAAAATCAAGTTCAGCAAGTAGAGCAAGCACAAACGAACAGGCCTGTTTATTATGATGTTGGAAACCATCAAATATTTTAAAATTGTTTCACCTGTTATATCAATCTCGGGTTTCCTCAAAAACGAATCCTTTATCACTTTTCTCGAAACTGATGTGGGCATTAGTCTGAATAAATTGTTTAGGAAGTTTTTCAGCAAATCTTCATTCCTGAAATTTTCGTAAAGATCAAACACATATTTTGTATGCTTTAGACAAATTTACCTCAGCCAGTCGACATATTGGAAACGTAATTCGGTGGAAGACTGATCACAGAGTGACAGGAGAATATCCCAAAGTAACAAATAGGCGAAACAGTACGTGAACGAATCTGTGGATGGTTCTACTCTACAAATATCTTCTCCCAACCTGAAACAATAGTAATATAAAAAGTACAGACAGTCCCATTCACATCTCAAGTCTCCACCACCCCCGGCTTAGTTTTGAACAATAAAATACAGGGTATGTCACGACGAGCTTAGAATATCTTTATATTGAGAATCAGTCAGGAGAAACCCATGAAAATGTGCATGCCTATATTTCAGAATACGCTCTCTTCATTTGATATATTTTCGACAATGCAGTGTTGCCGCTCCTACTAGAAAGTAGTAGCAACATTGATATTTCAAATGGAACACCCTGTATTTTATCGCATTTTTAGATTCTCCCTGAAGAGCTGATTTCATCGATGCATCACAGTTGGAGTCTATCGAAAATGATTACAGAGATATAGGGTGTTCAAAATCGAGATTTTTCAACTTTAGGATTTTTTGTGTCGAATTTATTCATCATCGGTCAAAACGGCTCACATGTCCCTATCTCAACTTTTGATTAACTATTTACTGATATTTAATCGGAACAGATACAGGGTGGTTCAAGATTCAGAATTCTGATCACCCTGTATCTGGTCCGATTGAATATCAGTATAATAAATCAGAAGTTGACATAGGGACATGTGATCGCTTTTGGCCGATATTGAATATTTTCGACACAAACAAAGCCTCAAGTTGAAAAATCACAACTTTCAACACCCTATATCTCTGCAATCATTTACGACAGACCCATTGTGATGTATCGATGAAATCAGCTCTTCAGGTAGAATCTAAAAATGCAATAAAATGCAGGGTTAAGTATTTGTAATAACCAAGTTGTGGCTACTTTTTTATAGAAGCTCTTCGTGACAGACTCTGAATATGGATGTAAAATTAGATAATGTAAACAACTTTCCCAGAAAAAAGTAACTATCCTTTTGCTAAAAAAATAGAACGAACAGTCGTGTAACAACCTCTTTGAAGAATCTATGGAAAACAAGACTGAACTTTTAAAATACTTGAAATTTGTTTTCCCACTTCGAAGTAGCAAAATACAACATTTCAAATTTAAAACTCAATTCAGAGAGTAAAAATTCAAAACGAGATGACGACGTGACGCCAACTTGCTCGGAAACTGCAAACAGCTCATAGAATTAATTGAACGATATCCCAGCATTTTTCATGTGCCGACCTAAAAAATATCTGTGAAGTTTGAAATATTCATTATCCTCCCTACAGGCAAATAAGAAATACCATTTCTCGAAAAATCCAAGGATATGCTATTTGCTCATTTTGAAACCTTTCATCTAGCCATATCGAAGTTTAGAACTACTAAATGGTGTTTTGGAGGAATCAAATGAACAGAATCATATGGAATACCCCTCTTCATAGTTCTTTTTTACGAAAAAAACAAATTCTCTTGAAAATCAGAGAAGAATAACAGATCACCATGTTTTTTTAATTTTTTTTTTGCGAATTCTCGATCCCTTGTAATCACAAAAATATACGGTGCCCCGCAATTGAAGGAAAGCTAGTGGACGATTTTATTTGATTTCTTAAATAGAATCATCACTCAATTACTTCTCAATTCCATATTTTTTTAGATTTTTTTTCGTCGGTTTTAAGGTGCTAAAATCAACAATATTGTCACGGTAATTTTAAAACGGCTAGAAATTTACCGCAACCAACAACTGACGTCAGGATTTCGTAAGTAGGGGAAGACCATATCACAGTTGTCATATGTTGAAATACGAGTGGGAAATTCAGAAATATTGTTCATTTTATAATTCATAAATTCTCAATTACGTATTATTAACAACCTTAATTCGCTATTAAAAATCCATTGTCTCAAAATTGGCCCTCTTATCTCTTGTGTCTTTTTGCTTATGATTAATTTGTTGAAAATATTATTAATTCACTCTAGAGGACATTTGGTCCGATAAACGTGACAACACAGGATTGTGGGCGTTGTCTTGTAAGCACAACATGGCGAAGTCTCTATAGCATAGCCATTATTTACATGATGTTTTGTTATGGAGAATAAGAAATATGTTGACAAGCTGGTTGTTCGAAAAAGTCACAAATTAATAACTTAAATATCATGACTTCCTCCTATTCCTCCTAGGTCAAATGAAATATTTTATTTGAATGTAGTTTAATTCAACGACAAGACTCTTAACAACTGTTCGATATCTTTATTATAATTTATGAGTGGGAATGGACGATTTTCTGACCAATAATGAAATAGAATAAGAACTGACGTATCCCATAACATGGTTAAATGGCAGCCATGACGGCACGTTTGGAATGTGTTTTGAAATTCAACAATTTCAAACAACGCATATACACATTATTTACATCAAAAACGCGTAAGAATAAGTGTTGTAGAGATTAATTCAGGTTCCTATCGACACAGTTGGAGTAATTGAATGCCAATTATTCACTACCAGTCCAGTAGCCCATTCGGTTTTCAGATTTCAGAAGCTTTTTCTGGTGCCTCCAATTGATGAGTATTTCACATCCTTAATGATGTTCAAAAATTATTTGAAATTCGAATTCCAAGAAAGGATGATGAAATAAACCTATGACGTCGAAACATTATGTATTTTTAGTAAACAGAAATGTACCCTATTTCCAATGAAATAGAAACAAACAAAAGGACCAATATCATACAGAAATAATCATATTCCTTATTCTCAATTCAAGAATACAAAACAAATAAAAAAATTGAACGTAAGATGGGGTTTACCCTCTGAAAAAGGTCAAACTTAATCTAAGGTGTAAAGGGGGAAGTAAAAATCCTGTCCGAAGGAGGCGGGGCCCGATAACGAAGAAAGTCGTCTAGTGTCTCACTCCAACTCATTCTAGCGTAAAATATTTCAACATTTATAGTAAAAGCGGCCTTGAGTGTTACCCCTTGAGGCATCTGCGGTCGGTCGTCTGAATTCTCCGAATAAGTTCCACAGGCACAGCTTACAAGTTGTGCGATAGGCAGTATACATCTAAGAGGAGAACGAGGCAAAATCCTCTTCCTTACAGACTTTTTTTTTCAGAGTAGAAAGATATAGGACCTTCACCACCTTGAATATATATGATTATTACATAATATTCCAGCTTGACTACTTTTTTCTATTGTACCGAAAAAAGTTATAGGCGACCAAACTCGAAAATTTGAGAAAAAAATAACTTTGCGCGTAAATATATAAACCTTTGTAACTTCGCAATTATAGCACTTATATAAGTAGTCTTTTCATAATATGATTAAGCATATTCTGGAGATTCGATTCATATATAATATGTTGGGAAATTGAATTATTTTTCGATCTAAAATGTATCATTTTGTACAGAATTCGCGAAAAAATGTCCATTGTCATCGCTTCAGTTTATCATAACTTTTTAGTTCACGATATGAATTTCGATTTTTATGATATCTTTCGATATATTGAAATGTGAGCAACAAATTGTTTCCTATAAAGTTTTCGCACGTTTCAAAAATGAACTTTGTAGAAGCATTTATTGTCTAATACGTAAGAGGCCATCCGAGCGCACGAGTGAGAACGATACAGCGGCGTTTACGTGCTCTAGACAAGAACAAACAGTAAAGATTAGGGGAGGATAACTGTCTCATTTGGGAATGGAGAAAGGAGCGTTCTTGGTTGAATATGTAGGTAAATAACTTCAGTTCATAAATATGGTTCCAAAATAATTCACTTCAAAGGCAACGAAGTGAAAATGGTAAAGAAAAAATACCAAGAAGATATTGGGAGATGCTAGAATTTTCCAAACATTGAGTTCCCAAAAAAAATTGATCAACATTATACAGCTGGACAAACTATAATATACCAATATGGTATATTTATAATAAAAAACTTTTTCAGAGTCTTTGAGAGGAATTTGTGATAAATTTTAGTTAGATTGAATGTTTTATATTAAAATTAACATTCTTTGCGAGCAAATATGTAAATTTATCGATATAAATCTATTATATTCATCATATCTGTGGATGGAGCTCTTGATATTATTTCATCTTCGTTCCGCACTCATGCACCAGTATCTATTGCACTCTGTCTCACTCATACTGTGCATGACCTATCTAAAGTTGCACGTTGTCATTCAAAGCGCTATAAAAAGTTTATTTTTGAAACGTGCGAAAAGTTTATTCGAAACAAATTGTTCGTTACACTTCAATCTATCTAGATGGGAGAAAAAAATTGAAATTCATATCGTGAAAAAGAAAGTTATTATCAATTGAAGAGGTGTTAATGCTAAATTACTCATGTAATGCGTGACAAAAAAAATTATTTTCACATATAAAAACTCAATTTATATACCATGGATCGAATCTTCATAATATCCTCAACAAAATGATGAGAAGTTGAGGCATTTAAGTTATGTAGTCTCCAAGTTACAAAGGTATATACATTTACATGCGAAGTAGATTTTTTTTGTAATTTTTGAGTTTGTTCGTTTATAACTTTTTTCGGTATATCGAAGACCTTTGGCACGATAATACACTACACTACACTGTTTTACCACTAACCAAACCGATTTTTTAACGCCTCGACACGTGTTTCGCTAACTATATTAGCATCTTCAGGAGAAGATTAAAATTTTAATCTTCTCCTGAAGATGCTAACATAATTAGCGAAACACGTGTCGATAGGCGTTAAAAAATCGATTTGGTTAGTGGTAAAACAGTGTAGTGTAACTTTTTTTGGTACCATAGAAAAAAGTAGCCAATTGTTTCTAGATAGGATAGTGAGAGTCTGATATCTTTCTACTTCCAAAATTTTTTTTGATTATTTTCACCTTGTGTCCCGCTACACTAATAACTATGAGGAGGACATGTTTTCACGTAAAAATCACCTTGCTCGTTTCATCCCCTTTGCCTTCACTGACGCCAGCCGCCAGCCCCTCAAAAATGTAGGGGTGAGAAGTTTTCAAAAGAATATACCCGGTATACCCTATATGAGCATAAATTAGTGGTATGTATAAACTCAACTGCAAAAATATAATTCGAAAGTACGAATCTGAATAATAGAAAGGCAGCAAAAACAG